TCTCTCTCTCTCTCTCTCTCTCTCTCTCTCTCTCTCTCTGTGTGTGTGTGTGTGTGTGTGTGTGTGTGTGTGTGTGTGTGTGTGTGTGTGTACATATTATTTGGGTGTACAGAATATAACTTGAGCCTAATTTAAAAAAAAAAAAGCCCTAAAGGTTTTTGAGCACCAATATGATACTCAAAAAGTTTTGGACTTTAGGGCTTGAGAGAAGCTCAGGGGTTAAGAGCACTGGCTGGGAACCTGGGTTCCTAGCACCCATGCTGTGGCTAACAACCACCTCTAACTCCAGTTCCAGAGGATCTGATGCCTTCCTCTGACCTCCACAGGCACCAGGAATGCACATGGTACACATACACACATGTAGGCAAAAACACTCATACACATAAAAGAGTAAATCCTGGGAGAATGCCCCCCCTCGCACCCCCGCAGGCTCTGCTTTCCGAAGTCAGTACAAGTAATGCACAGACTCAGAAGTAGTTCCAAGTCTCCTTCCAGTGAGCAACTCCTCTCCATTTGGTCCCATCCAAAACCCTAAAATAAGATCTAAGCTGCCCACGTGTTCCTGTGCCTCCTCAACTTCATTCTCCATTCTTAAAATCACCTAGTATAGAAAGTAAATGCACTAACTTAGTCTCATCACACCCCCAAATTAAAGCTTTTAATACTCAATTTCTCCTACTTTCTGCAATATTGTGCTTTACCAAAATGTAAAACAAGCTTTATGACACTGTCTATTTTAAGTAGTAAATGGAAAACAAGACTAGTGTCTACACAGAATTTCAGAGAATACAAAGTACAATTAAAATTGCAGGTCACAATAGAGAACAAAAGATGTGTTTAGGGGCTGGAGAGGTGGCCCAGTAGTTAGAGGGCAGGATGCTATCTCTTCCAGAGGACCCAAGTTTAATTCCCAGCATCCACGTGGCTGCTCACAACTCTCTATGTAACTCCGGTTCCAGAGAATCTGACTCCCTCTTCTGGCCTCTTTGGGCACCAGGAGACCACGTGGTTCACAGACATATAATGAAAGTAAAACACCCATACACATGAAAAAAGAAAGAAAGAAAAAAAAAAGGAAAGGAAAAGTTTTTTTAAAAAAAGCTTAATATTTATAGATGTTTAGAAAACAAAATAATTAAAAATTGCTAATGATTAGTTCTGAAAACTATTTGCTTGACTACAATCAAAGTCACATTGGTTACTATAGCAGCTAGTAGAAATAAGGTTACCACCTAGGAAGAGAACAGATTCATAGGGATATACACAGGAGTAAAGTGTTGGCCTAGCACCAGTGAAGGGAAAAGGAACAACCGAGCCTATGGATTGCACACGTTTGTGACCCCAGCACTGGGGAGGCTGAGGCAGCAGGTGCACCACAAACTGAAGGTCAGCCTGGAACACACAGCAAGTTCTAGGTCAACCTGAGCTACAAGACAGAAAGAAAAACAGGAGGGGGGGGGGGAGAGAATCAATAATTCTGTTGTTGCTTCTAATTCTGGTAGGATCTCATAAAAGCACTTCAATGATAGTGACATCGATAGAAAACATGACAAATCTCAAAATAACTAGCAATCTTTTCGTGGCTACTTTTTTTGTTCAGGCATTCAGAGCAAGCAAATCACAGAAGCCAAACAGTGACAAGTAATGCACCTGGAGTGAACATGCAGCTCAGTGGTGGAGTGATTACCTAGATGTGCAAGGTCCTGGGTTCAGTACCCAGAGCTGCAAACAAGGTTTTGGAAAAGCCTCTACTTAATCTCCCAATTAATCTACTTAAACCTACAAAGATTTTACTTGTAAAATTACACAACCATGTATCAGATACAATGCTGAAAGTACAAGTACATTTATGAAAAGGAGGCCTACTCATTGGAGTCCAAAAAGTCTAGTCTCTTCTTTTACCTCTTGTTAGCACTACTTAATGCAGAGGTAAAGTAGCATGTCATCCAGTTACTGTCCCTCCCAAATAAAGTATTCAACAGTCTGAACATACTTCATGGTGATACCACAGAAAGCTTAATTTCTCTCTCTCTCTCTCTCTCTCTCTCTCTCTCTCTCTCTCT